GCGTACACCTGGAACCGAGAAAAACAAATGTTCGTCGCTCTGGGGAAAGAGTTTGATATGTTTCTGTGATACTAAGGAGGATTGCTCTCAATTTTATCAATTTCAGTGATCATTACTCCTGCTCCGTCACATGAAACAAAGCTTACATGTCCAGGGATTAGAGCAGTCTATTTGTTTTCCCTTTTCTTCCTTTTCGTGGCCGCTACATGCAACACATTTGCAAGAATATCCTTATAAGTAACTAACCACTAATCATCCACAGTGATGGAAGTTTTCCAAGCTCAAAGAAGCAAAACAATCCATTAACTTATCGAAAATGAGCGGTTGAATTATTTTTTTTTCAAAAATGCTAAAGCATTTTTTTATAATTTAGCCTGTATGTTTAAACAAATAGTCAAGGTTGTTTTGTTTTCAGATTGATCACCATGACTAAAGGTTTAATTTTAGGTATTGACTTATTAACTACCTGAATCGATAAATCACATTTGTGTTCTCAACAAGGATCTTATAAAAAATAGTAGCATTACGTTTTGTATCTAAATATATATAACGAATCTATGAAGCGGTAATATTTGATTTTGCATCAGTTGGTAAATCATTACAAATTCGTGCATCCCTAGAAGAGACCATTTCAGAGTTCCAAATGTAATGCAAGAAATCAAGAGAAAATAATTGTCCCATTGTATCCTTTGGAATAGACTTCTTTGCACCTCTGTACCGCAGGGACAAGATGAAAACATCTGAAAAGCAATCAGAAACAATGTTAACAAGAAAATTCAGTGCAAAATGAAAACCAAGGAAATTTCCAATCGGCTTCGCTGAACGAAATCGATGCACCAATTAAAAAACTACCCGCTTTGGGGTTCTTTCATTTATATTAAGTCCAGAAATGCCTCCTCCAATTTTCCCCTTATCGCAATCAATCAATTCTGGCGACCCTCAAACCGTGCGTGAAAAATTAATCTAAAAATTAGAATTTAGTTTTCGAAATACCTTTTCTTTGCTTCTTTATTCTCTTTTGCTTTTATTGCATATATTTTTTAGACCTCTGACTGCTTAAGCACTACGAAAACGATAGGTTAAATTCTTACCACCCAAAAAAATCTATATTTCAGGTACCTGGAAAAATTCCACGTCCTAAGGGTTCATGTCCAAAATGTTCAACCGTGAGTTATCATCTGCATCTACTTATCGTCACTCAGTTTAATCTCTGTCAGTCTACAGTGACTCTGTATCTTCTCGGTCTGGATCAAGGCCTTAAGATGCCAACTGATGGTATCGTGAACCGCAATAAAGACCAGCACTCTAAACGAATAGGCTCAACATAGGATTAGTATTTATAATTAAGATACATTGGACCAGTAGGTGTCATCTCCCTATTCAGTATCAAAATCACTGATAAAAGCGAATATGCAGTACGAGACAAATGTATCGTTACTGAGTCTTGTACACTTACAGACAGTGACGATCCATTCTACGATCATAAATCGACTGATCCGAGCGCCGATGCATTGGCTCGGCTGCTCCGACCCAAACAATAGATTATAAGCTGTTGTTAGACCAATCATGATCAATAACCGCTACAAACCTTGAAAAGGCTACTTACGATCTTGTATCGATTCGTGATGTTAGATCGTAAGTTCTTTGAATTCCTACACACATGTGATATACGACGTAACCATTAGAAAAATGATTGTCACCACGATGTTAGATCAATTGTCGCGATCTACAATCGCAGCCAACCTTGGAAAGACTATTGATGATCTTAAACTGATTCGTCTTCCAAGATCATCAATAGTACAAGGGAGCAACACTCTCCAGAAGTAGGTATTCGTAAATCTTATACCTGTACAGACGAGGTCCATACCACTCCAGGTTCCATTCTCTGAACATTTCCTGACTGTTGAACCGATCTCCTCAGCTCTTTCCTTACAAGAGAACCTACATTCTGCGCCACGTGACATCTCTGTGGAGTTCGTGTTACATCCCAAGAGTATGCCATTGGTTGGTAAAGTGCATTTAACAGCTGAACAATAAAAATCAATATGATTGTCTAATAAATGATCGAACTAACTCTAAAGTGAGATGGTGGTTGTAGTTAAAATCTGTTGGGAGTAACCTTTTCTCAAAGTTTGTCGCAGAGTTTTGAAATAAATTTTGAGAATTATTTCCACTTTTCTTTCAAATAAAAAACGAAAAAAAAAAGTAACAAACAAACAGGCAGACAGACAACATTAGTACTCATATTCGGGCGATCGAAACTTTGCAATCTGATTTGCTTAGCGGAAAACGTCAATGGCCATTTTCGTAGTTGGAGGAAGTTGAGCTAGGAGGTGGTTTAGGAAATATTGAAGTATGATCTTCTCTCCTAAATCATCACACAATTTTTCATCGGAAAGTGAATATACGGCTACTTACTTTGACAAATAAACTCTCGTCCACTCCAGGTTCCATCGTGTTGACATCTTCTTTCTTGAGAACCATAACCTATGTAGCCATTGTTGCACAAGAACTGACAGACTGTATCATAATTTACACTTGCATTTCCTGGGCATCCAAGTATTGCTCCATCAGTCGGCGCAGGTAACGCCGGACACATTGTTACTGCGAAGAAAAAGAAAATAAAACGTAACAAAAATATCTGGAACTGTTGTTTTTATACAAAAATGATAATTCCAGATAAGAAACCTACACACTTCAAATCAACAACAACAGAAACCTTAGAGAAAAATGTTTCTCGTCTTGTCACGAGCGTGCTCTATTTCCATTTCGCTATTTCTTTCGCCCACGGTAGAGTCTCTGTGGCTCAGTGGTAGAGCATCAGAGCGCGGAATCCGAAGGTCTGAGGTTCGATTCCTTATGAAAAATTAGAATTTTTTTTCTCTATCCCACGCTCGTGACAAGATGAAAAACATCCTTCTTTATTTCTTTACAGAGCTCAAAACTTACCATCTCATTTATTCTATTTATAACCAAAATTTAGGGGTAGATATGGGACTACCTTGCAAAACTTATATGCTTACATTTTGTCATTAACCGTTTCGTTTTAGCATTTCAAACTAAACGATGGAGAATGGGAGCGGTTACAATCTTCAAGAAAAAGAAGCTCTTACTTTTCGACTGCGTTCACTTCCCTCTCTAATTAAGTTTTTCTCCATCCATCTTCCCGTGCTACATATTTATAAGTGTAGTTTGTTAAGTTGCAGCACAAACCTGGTAACTGCAGTGAGTCGTTAAAAGCGACTATTCCCCCTGTTAAAATGCCGCCGGTTGTTACATTTCCTACCACTGTTCCATTATAGGCATCCAACTGAGAAACCCAGTTTTGATTCCAACCATTGATGAACAAATAGGACGACGTAAAAGTAACTCCACTGAATGAAATTCCTGGCCAGTGAAAGAGAAGTTTTCTGCTGTTTCCATTGTAGTCAACGGATTCTATCACGTCCATTCCATTGTCCACCCAGAAAATATGTTTGTTTCGTCGATCAAGAGTGATACCAAATGGGTGCGTAAGATTGGTCGTTACTATGGCGACACGATTTGTGCCATGTACAGTTGATTTCTCGATTTTCGGCGGGTTCCCCCAGTCAGTCCAAAACATCAATCTGTCGAATAAGCCATCGCAATTATCTACTCATAAATTTCCCGAGGGTGAGAAAGTGAAATATGCTCGGTCTAAAGGGAGTGGCTTAGGGCAGTAAGGGATGCATAATTTGTCAAGAAAATATGGTATTTATCAAAGAAAACACAGACTAAAGGAGATCCACTTGCAAAGTGGTTCTCATACTTTATCCTAAAAGCTTCACGTCCTATCTCACAGAGTGAATTAGTGGTCAATAAAGTAAAACAGTATTTGTGTCCTTAGAAATGATTTCCGACCATGTCTAACTATTTATAAAGCTGTAACTTTAAATAGACTGGTTTGCAACCAGTATATAAGGAACTCTCTCTTTGCAAGTTGAGTTTGGCTAGGTTTGAAAGCCAATATAAATTTTGAGTAAGACTTTAGATGGTCCCTTAAATTCATGCTTCCCTGTAGTCTGTAATTCGATATGGGCCGCTCCTGATCGCAAACTTCCTCCCATCGAATACCCTTAATACTTGTTATTCAGATGTGATCTTCGAGTTATGA